GGCTCGGCATTTACTGACTACCATACGCTGTCCTTAAGATGATGATGACGATGAGGATGAAGAACCATTGATGTCAGGATCAGGTCAGCCGGTTGCTCGCGAATTTTCTGGAGAACAGTTAGATAATTGGTCTGTCATCATGACTAAATGGAAGGATGTGAACAGCCGTCCTAAACAAGTCAAGACACTAATACGAAAACAGGTAACACGTGATGTACTGGGTTTTGGGGGTACAATAGTTAGTGCATGTGTTTTTCACCTCATTTATCCTCTGTTATCTATCTTATTATAATCTCGAACGGTCTGTACCAGTGTGTACTATAACAAGACAACTCTCCCTGAAAAATATGAGCTGAACTTTGACGTTTCGGGCTAAGGCCCTTCGTCTCTACTAACTTCCCGACATCTGATTATAATTTCATCTCAATCACATGTGAGAAGAGTGCTTCCAGTTTTATAACTCTACCAAACATTGCTTTGGAACAGCCTTACTAATGTTAACGTATGGGTCACACCTCCTGTATTCAGCATGCATTCTTGTAAATAGTTTTTTACGTATTTGTTTGTAAATATTTTGTATATAAATGACGACGGCCCTCTTGAAAACCAACGTATGTTGATGAGGCTAGCGTCTTGAAATAAAGTTTTACGATACGATCACTGATATACACTAAATACGATACGTTTTCTCGAGGTATTCTAGTTTCTTCCTGTAGTAAGGAATTGTCGTTACTGGACCTCTAGAGGGACTATTTGGAACTGGTAAAGCTATCCAATATAAATAAAGCTAGCTTCTGTTTCCAATATAGAATATGTCTCAACCTAATCCTATCTTTATTTAGGGTGTTCCTGAACCATTGAGAACGAAGGTTTGGCAAATGTTGGTTGGCTTGGATGATACAAATTATTTAGTCGAAAGCTATAAAGATCTTATTCGAAGGGTGAGCTTGTTAAGCTTCATTTCTCTTAAATCCTCTGCTATTTTTCCACATTTTTTATTTATTTATTATGTTAGTTTATTATTCGGAATCATAAACCTTGGTATTTATATATGTCTTCGCGTTTGTGCATGGTGTACCTGGTGCCCGCCAACGCGTTGTTTTGCGCATGTCCTAGAGCATCGCATTGTGGGTGATAGTATCTCTGGTTTTTTCTCTCAGGAGTCTCCAAATGAGCAAGTGATACAGTGGGACATCTATCGAACTTTTCCTGGCCATGAATATTTCAGATCCAGCGAAGGAGAAGGACAAGAGAATCTTCAAAAGATTTGTCGGGTAACAAAAGATTATAATCTTGACTGGTTTTTGCCAGTGTAGGTAGTGCCCAGGCCCTTCCTACGTTTTGAGCCTTTCGTCCGGAAGTAAGTAGTTTGGCTACTATATATGTACATTCTTGCACACTTACTCCCAGTAGAAGCTGGTACGTGTGGCCATTTTATTAGGTATAGAGCAGGATTTACACATGTATTTACTCTACATGAGAATAAAGTATAGTATTACAGTTAGATAAACTTCACCCCTTTTGTGTTCCAGGCTTATTCAGTATACGATGATGAAGTTGGTTATTGTCAAGGAATGTCGCACCTCGCTGCGGTACTCATCTTACATGTACGTGGAAATTTTTATTTATCGTAAAATTTCTGGCATCGAATCCAACCCAAAAATTCAGTGCTCGAGAATGTGCAATAAAGTGTAACTGTAAATTAAGATAAAGTGTAACTGTAAATTTTTTTGTAACTGTAATACGTCTTTGATAATGGCTGCCGTGTAGGTAGCCGAAACGTCAGAAATAATAAAACAATTTTAATTTGGATGATCGTACAATAAACTAAAATGAATGGAAAAACCCGGATTCAAGCCCTTCAGTAAAGTGTAAGATATTGTAAAACACGGCTTCTCCCGTTTTACAGTGATGACGTCATAGGGCCCCATGGGAAGGTTTTGCCCCGGGCCCGGCGCAATCTCTCGGCGGCCCTGTTTACAACCGCCGCGGCTTTTTTTACATTAACTAAGTTTTGTTCTACCCACATTCTTAGCTTCCCGAAGAACAGGCGTTTGGTGTGTTTGTGAAGATCATGTATGACTACGGTCACAGGGAATTGTTCCTGAATGGATTTGAAAAACTCAATGAAAGATTTTTTGTCTTGGAAAGAATCATAGAGGTATAATAGGTTTAAGCATAGGTTTAAGAGAACACCCTTACTTACCTGACAGTGCTATCCAATATATATTTTTAGTTTCTTCTTGCAGTAACTCTGGATCAATAAGAGATTCATCTCTTATTGATCCAGAGTTACTGCAGGAAGAAACTAAAAATATATATTGGATAGCACTGTCAGGTACAGTAAGGGTGTTCACTGTCAGGTACAGTAAGGGTGTTCTCTTGAACCTCTAGGATGAAGAGTTTAGAACTGATAGAACTATCCAGTATAAATAAAGTTAGTTACACTTAGGTTTCCTCTTGTAATGTCATTCGATCCATAAGAGATGATCTTTACTGGACTTCTAGAAAGAACAATTTAGAACTGTTAAAAGCAATAGCTAGAGTTAGTTTAGTTTGAAAATATTTTGACGTGATTCTCTAACTTTCTTTCCCAGGAGTTCCTACCGGATCTGAACAGTCATTTTCTGGAAAACAATATTGAGCTTCACATGTTTTGTTCTCAATGGTTCTTGACGTTATTTACCGCTAAGTTTCCGTTGTCTTTAGTCTACCGTATCATGGATTTATACCTCAGCGAGGTGAGTGGCTGTTGCTGTAAGCTCAATTTTTATAAGCCATTTGGTTATGTTGCTTGGTTTTATAAGCCATTTGGTTAAAATGTTGCGCTGTGGTTTATAAGGGCCTTCGCTCGAAACGTCGAGTTTCTGCTTATTTTTTCTAGTATAACCACTCAGCACAGCAGGTTCAGATTCCACTACCGTTACCATTAAGGGACCATTAGCCAATCAGATGCGTTTGATATATCCGATCAACCATTCAGATGAGTACAGTGAGAGGTAGTGGAAGTCAAATCTGAACCTCTATAATAGAGATGTTCAGTACCTCTCACTTGCCCTGCATGCATCTGATTGGTTGATCGGGTAGATAAAACGCATCTTGATTGGTTAATCGGATAGATAAGACGCATCTGATTGGTTAATGGTCCCTCAGTGATAGCGGGAGTCAAATCTGCACCTCTCTAATACCGTTCACTTCTGGGACGGGAGTTCTATTTCTGCAATATACAGTTGTCTGATTATAAATTCACCTCAGTCACATGTGAGAAGAGTGTTTCCACTTCACGAAACATCGCATGTTTCCTCCGGGTACGGCCGTTTTCCTCGTGCAGCAAAACTGGACTATACTATCTTAGAGAAAACAATTACTCATACAACTAATCCATTTTCAATATTTTTAGGGCCAGCAATCTATTTACCAAATTGCCACGGCTCTTCTAAAGGTAACTAGTGGAAAATTAGATTTAATTCGTTTCGTAATCTATCCCAAATTTTACCTTCCATACACAAAGTCACAAACACATTTTATTCAATTTCTTTTGTTTTCAGGTGGCGAAAAAAGACTTGCTTCAACTCAGTTTTGAAGGAATGTTGAAATATTTCCGTGTTTCTTTGCCAAGAAGATTCATCAGTGAGGAAGAACAGAGTACGTTTATGAACGTAATTCTGTCGTATAAGGTGAGTTTATCGTTGTTGCTTGGTTGGTCACTCTATGTGTCTTTCAACCTGTGACCGGTGGACGGTATCTGCAATATGCCATTGTCTCATTATTCTTTCATCGCAGTCTCAATGAGAAGAATGCTTCTAATTTGGTTCTAGGAATGCTTCTAATTTGGTTCTAAGAATGCTTCTAATTTGGTTTTAGGAATGCTTCTAATTTGGTTCTAGGAATGCTTCTAATTTGGTTCTAAGAATGCTTCTAATTCGGTTTTAGGAATGCTTCTAATTTGGTTCTAGGAATGCTTCTAATTTGGTTCTAATGCTTCTAATTTTATCGCAGAGTGAATTGTTTATTTAATTCTATTTGAACAGTCTGTTGTAAAAAAACTGAAAAGATATGAAGAGTTGTATGAATTGAAGAAAGAAAGAGAGAAAGAAAATGAAGATCCAGTCGAAAGATTACAAGTAAGTGAATGCATAATGCGTGGTAGAGCGTTCTTGAAGACAAACTCAGTTTTCATTTTCTAATGTTTTAGCGTGAAAATAAACAGTTGATGTTGGCCAACATCAGATTTGAACAGGAAAACGACGCCCTTGCTTACGAACTGGTCACCACTAAGGTTTCCTTACGAGCAAAACTGGACGAGGTTGGTAACTTTTTGCAGTGGTTAGTGTACCTCTGGTTTCATTATGTGACATGTAATTTGTTGTTCTGTTAGATAATGTAGAGATGTATTCAGTTAGTTTATATTTATATATTGTAGTTAGTTTCACGTGCACGACCACATCAGCTATGCTGTAAATTTACTATCGTGTTTAAATAAATGCTTTTATTATAATTATTATTATTCCTAACATCTGATTCACCCCCACCCCTGACTCGTCCCCAGTTTCCCATGACCCTTTACGTCCTATTGTTCCAACCCGCACGCCTGGGTACAGAGGTTTCTGGTGTCAGGCGAGTTTTAAGGTGTGGGCCACTCTGTCCGTGATCCCGGGTGGAGGATTGCTTGTCTGATTGTAATTTTGTTTCATCGTCGTTCAAGGCGGAAGAGCATGCAGAAGATTATTTACGAGAATTGGAAGTCTTGCAAAAGAAAGTCCCGGAACTTCAGGACGAAAATGAGAAATTACGCGCCGAGGGAACACATGTAAGTCATCCTGTCGCTGTCTATTTCTTCTACTGGTTTGCGATTGTCCTTGACTGGGGTTCCATTCCCAATCTGCAGTTATCCGATTATAATTTCACCTCAGTTAGATGTGAGATGAATGTTTCTAATCCGACTGCATAACAACTTGCTCTGAACGTCTGTATATCTTCACAGGTAAAAGATTTATTGCGAAAGAACGCTGAGGAAAGTGAAGCGGTCAGACAAAGATATGAATCTCTCATCGAAGAATACAAGAAGGTACAAACATATTTTATTCTTTTGCTACCAAACACCCGATGTTTTACTCCAGTTTCCTTCTGGAGTAACACCACAGATTAAGTCCATACTTAATCTGTGACTGGACCAATAAGGATGCCTTTCACTGGGCCTGTAGAGGGAACAGTTTAGAACTGAGCTACACATACATCGTGACCGTATGTTATATTTCTCAATCAGATTTGCTCCAAACTTGACGAAAGAAATGAAGAAATGAAATCAAATTTGGAAAAAGAACTGCTTGAGATTAAGGTAAGATCGCTTTCTTTCAAAGCGTCTTAAACACGTGTTTATGTCTTTCTAAATGCTTGGTTATTTTCATTCTTTGGTTACATGATCAGAACAGTGGTAGCTAGCCATGCGAGTTATTCGACTCCAAGTTTGAATGCTTTTATAATTATTTTCAGAGAAGGATCGGTGCTTGTACGACCTGTTCGCGACTGATTACGGGGGATGGCGAAGCGTTGCCGGGCAACACTTTCAAGCCGAGTGTGAAAATCGAGGACGCGGACCAACGTAAGAAGGAACTGGAACTAGAGTTAGCTCAAACTAAGCTCTCATTGGTCGAGGCTGAATGTAACGTTCAGGAATTAGAACATCGCTTGGCAAGTTTTATGTCTGCTGTTGCAGCCGAGGAGAGTAAACCTTGGTTTAGGAGGTCTAAGTTGGGAACTCCGGCGAAGAAGTAGGATATATGTTGATATATGAAGTGATTGTAGGACATGTGGGGTGATTGCTGGTTGATTGTACGATAGATGGGGTGGTTGTAGGTAGACGAGGTCATTGAAAAACCTTTAAAGATATACCATTTTTAATTGTGGTAATTACATATGGGGAGTAACGGTGTAATTTTAGTGATAGCAATATTCTAGATCGAGTATTAACCGTGACATCTGGTTAAGAATATATTAAGAGCCTTTGTTATTGAAGATATAGTTATAAATTAAGAGAAAATAGCTTTAATAATATCCTCATGTGATAGGATAGAACATTAATTGTAAGCAAATTGTATATAATATACGAATATCAATAATATCTACAGATATTGAAGTAAATCGAAAAAATAGAGAATTCCTGGTTTATCGTAGTGGAGCCCCGTTTTCCTTATCTGTATCTACACATAGTGAACTATCGTGGTTTTGGTTGGAAATAGCCGGAAATTTTTCTAAAAAATGTCTAAAGTATTTTCAAGTAGTTAAGACCAAAATGTCCACTGTACATTACTATACCTACACACTTGACCACCGCATTGTCGAGCTATTGTCCTAGCTAATTACAAAAGTAAATATGAGTATGTCAAGTGGATTTTGTAGTTCGTTTGATGCCTGTGGTAGGTTTCTTTGATGGTGTTTTCTCTGTTGTGTTTTCTTTAGTATTTTTCTTTGCAGTTGGACGTTTAAATCTTGGGATAGCACTTCTACGCAACTCCGCTCTGCAAGGATAGTGGAAATTTATTAAATGATGGAGAACTTTCTGGTAAGAGTCTTTGTTGCTGAACAAAATACCGAAATATCCCAAGCGTTGGGGGCCCAGGTAGTTCACACACTAACCATGGCAGCTTATTGTCGAATACTACCTACATTTGAGCTATCTTTTCAGGTAGTTCAGACACCAAACACGACAGCTTATTGTAGAATACACTACTGAGATGTTATGAAAAAATGTCTTATAAACAAAACTTATAGAAATTGTTCAATCAAACACTCACTTTTTATCTTGTTTCTTGCTAAGATCCGGGACAGAACTGGACAGTTGACGAGTCAGAGGACTTAAGTTATGTTTCTTGTCAGTGATATCTGGGTTTGATCCTCCTTGGGCTTCAAGTCTGCTTTGGTTGATTGTGTCATCTGATGCGCTTATGACTTTTGAGTCCACCAAGGATGAAATATTTTCATTCTTCTCACTATAGAGGTAAAAACAAAACAGTATACATTGATTGAACTGCATTTATATTGAATAGCTCTATCATATCTAAACTGTTTTCCCCAGAGATCCGGTAAGGATCTAAACTAAACTAACTTCATACTGAACGTCGCCCTAAATCTATTTTTCGCCAAGTCTTTGAAGTGGATCACATACATTATAAATTTCGAAGGATGTGAAAAGAGGCCGTGGTTGGGTTTGCATTCAAAATATCGAACGCCGTTCACCGAGCCATCATTTTTACCGCTTGGTTCGTCTAGGTCCACGCCGATCCAAATGCTAAAGATAAGGAAAACACGATTAAAATGTTAGTGCTGATTGGCAGATATCATTGCCTGTTTTCAGATGTCATTAGGGCATGGTACAAAGGTGATATAAGGGCTGCCTACCCGGAAGCGAACTGTGTTTCACCAACGAATCTAGCCACGCCTTTTCGCTTCTCATCATTGATCACGATGAGTCTGTCTCCAACCTGAAATAAGATTAATGTTCGTGTGACACTGGTTGATGCATGGTGTCTTTCACCTCGGGGTCAGTGTGACTGGGCTTTGATTTCCAGAATATGCAATTATTTGATTTAAATTTTCCTTCAGCCTCATGTAAGAGGAATTCCTCCAGCTTGACTTTATTAACCTTGACCAAACACTACATTTCCTCGTGTAGAAAAACTGGAACAACAAGAGATTCTCGAACGGTCTGTGTTAGCCAATAACAAGATGCTGTGGATTGATAGGGATACAACGAGTGCCAGGTGATCTGACGGTGAGCAAAAGGACTGGGACTAGCAACAGAATAGAAATCCAGTTTCGTACCTTTAATCACTTGGCACGCCCTGATTCTTTTGTGAAACTGTTTGAAACTTTGTGTCTGTGTCTTGCACAGAGAAATGAATGTCTGGGACAAATTTGAGATAGAAATCTAATACCGTTGAGTAATTTTAAACCAGAAATGGATTTCTATTTTACAACTAGTGTCAAGCCTTTTCCGAGTTCCGAGTTTTCACAGTCAATGAATACGAAAATATTTGCAAAGCAGGACTAAATCGTTGTGCTGGCTACGCTACTGGATACAACTACCTTAAAAATACAATGAGAACTTGTAGGAGAACGTTTTGACGACGAAGGGCCTTCGCTCGAAACGTCGAAGTTCTCCTTGTATTTTTCAGATAGTTGTATCCCTATCCATCCGAAGCTTTCTAAACAACAAGAGATTGGCCTTTACTGGACCTCTAGGAAGAAAAGTTTAGAATTCGTCATTCCAGGATTACTTCAGTTATGAATAGAGCTCCCAGTGCAAACCTTAATATTGACGTTGTCTTCTTTTCCTTGAGGTTGAGGTGAGGGTGACCGTGAGCTAGAACGAGAGCCTGGTAATGAGCCACCAGCGGTATGCTTTGCGCGGACAACACGCGCGAGGTTCGTGTGAAGTTTCGCGGAGTTTGGTCGTGCAATTTGACGAGCTTGCGTTTTCGATTTTGAGAGTTTTGATACGGGACAAAATATCCCTAAAGAATTAATATTTATGAGTTAACCATAGTTAGATGGTACACACGTAATTATCTCGCATCTTCTCAATAAGATGCGTTCGCAACAGGCTTGTAGCAAGCTTGTCAACAAGTTGTAACAATGCTGTTATTTTATCAAGTTGCTACAAGGTCGTCACTCGCAACTTGTTGACAAATTGTTGAATTGCAGGACGATAACAAGTTCAACAAGCTGGGAACAAGCAGTGCGAACACATCCTGTTGACAAGTTGTTGGAACAGCATTGCTACAAGTCTACTGCAGGTTTGAAACAACTTGTGCGTTTTTACGTGTGTAGTATACACGATAAAACAAGAACAGCATAAAAAGTATTCATACCGTGATTAGGTTTACATCGGAAATATGTTTTCCCACTGACCGATCCATCATTCTTGCCAACTGGACCTTGTAGTTCCACGCCAGCCCATTGTCCTTTAGCGAAGTCTGTACTTCCACAATAACGCAATATCCCCATCTGAAACAGCAATGGAAAATGATTCATTTAGTATAAAGTTCAGATTGATTTCCCTTCTCTTTGGTGAGTTTCACTAAGCCCTATCATGCAGTAGATTGTGGTATTCCTGTAATTATCAGAGTGAGTTATAAACCAACCTTACTGTCACCGACCATAACCTTGTCTCCAATTTTTAAACCAATAATATCCAAGACATTCACAGATGAATCCTAAAACGTAAACAAGGATTTCATCGCAAGATGACTTGAAGGGCAATATTAAGTTCCTCCTTCAGAGGTACCGTCTTAAGTGAATGTATATACTGGCTTACTGTAGCAGAATCCATTCCTGATTCACTTCCGCTTGTCTCAGCCTCACTTAGTAATCTTCTTAACTTGTTAGCAATAACAGCCGATGGAGAATCTCTCTCGAAAGTACTGGCTGCAGAGAGGGACATAATTTATCAAAGGTGAAATTAACTTTATTTATATGGGATAGCTAGTTATCAGTTTCCTCTAAAACGCTGTTCTCCCTAGATTTCCAGTAAGGATAATCTCTTATTGATCCAGTGTTACTACAGGAGGAAACCTAAACTAAACTAACTTTATTTACTGGATAACTCTATCAGTTCTAAACTATTCTTCCTAGAGGTCCAGTAAGAGTCATCTCTTATTGATCCAGTGTTACCACAGCAGGAAACCTAAACTAAACTAAATTTTTATACTGGATAGCTCTATTAGTTCTAAACCGTTCTTCCCAGAGGTCCAGTAAGGATCATTCCTGTGGTTCAATATTTCGGCGAATATCAAATATACCTTCGGGAATAGTATTTAGTGGCGTTCTGTTTTTGTCATCCTTTACAAAGGCATTTGCTCCATGTTGTAGCTAAAATAAAAAGTTAATAGTTAGTGATGAATGTACTGCCCGCAAAATCTGCACTGGTCCCACCTTTGCATAAACCAAACCATCATTTGCAAGCGTGCGGTACTCACCAAACATTTTGCAGCATCAAGACACAGATTACTCGCTGCTATATGAAGTATTGTGCCGTTATCAAATCCTGAACATGCAGCATCGATATCTGTCGAAAGAAAAACGATTCTAAAGGGACTGTAGTTGAACCAGGGCCGCCGAGAGAATTCGCGGGGCCCGGGGCAAATCTTCTCTGGGGGCCCTATGACATCATTACTTTTAAGCTAGACCCAAGTCAGTCACCCAACTAGACCTTAGGCTAGACTGCATGTGGAGCTGCTGTAAGGGGCCCTCAATTTCAGTTTGTGTATGTACAATAACGGGGTGCAAATCCAATGGTGAAAACAATAGATTCAAGATGGCGCCCTTAACCTTGGAAGGGCCTATTCACTAAAACAGCCAAAACACAGAAAGAAAAGTTCACCAAATGAATGATACCTTTACTACCGCTGGCTTTCAACAATACTCTGATGACAGACGCGGAATTAAAGAAGGCAGCATAATGAACAGGCAACATATCTGTCCAACGACATCTCAATGACACGTCTGCTCCCTGAAAAAAATAGATCGTAACTGAACCTTGCTTTGCTTGAACAAGTTATTGAGAAGATAGAAAAAGTCTTTGCAACTGCAAACCGCTATCAAACACTTCGCTCAAAGAAATCTTAATATACTGTAAACCTTTCTTGGGTACGTATTTCGGTATTTGCAAAAAAAAAACAAATTGAGTTGCAGTTGTACTTCTGATAGGTGGACTTGCTGATGTGTCTGTTTAAAACCTGCTTTACACTTTACCAAAGTTTCTGTGATCACAGTAGGAATTTTGCACAGGTAAAGTTTTGAACCATTTGTAAGAAATGTTTGGGGGAACTGACTCAATGTTTAAAACACTGATTCAGTTTCCTCAAACATTTCTTACAAATCTTTCAAAACTTAGAATTTACCTATGCAAAATTCCTACTGTGATCACAGAAGCTTTGATAGTGTATAATAGTGTATACCAGCCTTAAAAGAGGTGTCTGCTTAAAAAGAGTTTCAGCTGTATTTAACGTTGGATCCAATGCTACAAGCCTACAACTATGAAATACCTGGGATATGAGCTCAGTGACCAAACCAGCAGCCGTGTCGACATCACCTACGCCAACTAACCAATAAAAATGAAGCAATGAGTTGTCGAATGTACCTAATGCGTACCTATTCTTAATAATTTTGTAAAGGCCCATTTCCACTCAGCAAAATTTTCCACAGGAAGAAAAATTTGTAAAATGTGATTGGCCGACACAAATTTTACGTCTGAAAAAAATTTAAGTTGAAAATTTCAACTTTTAACAATGATGTTTTCGGAAGATTTTCTGTCCATGGAAATTTTTCTTGAGTGGAAGTGGACCTTACGCCCGTATTCTAAAAGCTCACTCACTCGATTATTGGAGGTTCAATCTGAGCTTCTCTTGAGTGTCAATGCTGTTTTTGAATAGCTGGAGGGTTAATGTCGTACCTTACTATGTGACTACACTCGCCCTCCAGCTATTCAAAAACAGCATTAACACTCAAGAGAAGCTCAGATTGAACCTCCACTCATTGAGTGTGAGTGAGCTTTTAGAATACGGGCCTTAATCTTACCAGCTCCTGACTTGGACGCGTAATGTAGAAGTGTCATGTCGGTCAGACCATCACAGTCATTTATACCAGCACCACGTTTTGTTATCTGGCACGAAAAATAGTATTGCATGGTAAGTCGAAATGGTCAAAATGTCAATGGTTGTCAATGTGTATATGTTATAAATAACCATGATGATACCTCAGTAACAAATGTTTCCAGGTTTTGCTGTACTTGTGGCACCCATTGTCTGATAATGGCAAATATCTCGGAAATTGAAGTTTCCGGGCTGTGAAAGTGTTTATAGAATAGCATGATTAGAGCGATGGTTGGAAAAATATGATTCTGAGACTGAGTTAGGTGTAACTTGGAAGGACAGTGTTTACAAAATGTGAGTACTTTTGTTCGTTCCAAGTTAAAGCCAGACAGCCACGTATTGTTACAGGGGACATTTCAAGCTCTATCTACAGGGGGGTATAAAAAAAATGCAACCTCGGAATTTCGTAAGAAACCACTTTGCAAATCTTAAGCATAAAAGATATTAGGCCCCTGGGAATTGAGATCGAATTGCTAATATAGTTAGGCCAGTTTTATACGTCGAATTTTGGTCGTGTCGAATGCAATTAAGACAATAGATGAGATGATAAACCTCATTAAGCTTCATTATCTATTGTTTGAAATGCATTCGACGCGACCGAAATTCGACGTATAAGGTATAAGACAGGCCTAATAAGTTTGATTAAGAACAGCTAACCTCATCCTCGTTTCATTCGAATTATTTCTTGCCACAGAGAAATGAACATTGTTATCTTCTAACGTATATACCCCATTAATTTCTACGAATCGTCATCTGTTTCATGTCAGCTATATTCTCATAAACGCGCAACGTAATGCCCGCGGGAGTTTTCAAATTGTTCATGCAAATTTAACCATACATGCAATCATCACACGGCCTGCTTTTCGCACAAGGAAGAAAGCGCTTTTGAAATGTGGTGAAATTTCAACATTATTTTACAGCAACTGGCGGCTCTTTTAAAGCTTCAAAAACTCTAAAGAAAGTGTCCGCTATATTATGGTAAAATATTATGGTATTTTGGTGGGGCTTTGGTGAACCTTTATAGCGAAGATTTGAAGTCAAAAACTACCAGGAACGAAATACAATGTCAATGGACAATGCCCAAACAACCAAAGGCAAGGACAAGGTCAGTTCTGAAAATGTATGGTATAGTTTTGCTAGAAGTGCGTCAGTGTTTACTTAGTCTTAGTTTCTCGAATATTCAACTGCATTTGATGCATTTTAGATGAATTTTTAAAGTTTAAACGGATTTTCAGATAACTGGGCAATCAAAAGCAATAAAATTGACACTGAACAAGCGCATCATTTGTTATGACTTATGGCGTTATGCATAACTGAAAATGGTCTCATGATTGATCACAGTTTTATCTTTTTAAGAAATGATAGCACATGTTGACTCACTCTGCTAGTATATCTGAACATCCTGGGCAATTTGGATCAAAAAACGATAGCTCATTTTTCTGACACTAAAAGATAATAATTGTTTCATAATAATTGTTATAATAACTTGTTTTTAAATGGACTAATGCATGGGTTTCACTAAGATGGTGGTCAACTTGCAGTTATCAGAGTGAGAAAATCATGTTCATTCTTTTCATTCTATGGAGTAGTCTTGTATTTGGAGAGAAAATATATAGAATTGAGAGATGTGGTTTAACCCATCGAGTGCCAGTGCTCTTCCTTTGAAGAGTAAAATTGTCTGGCATTAGACAGAGTAAAATAATAAAGTGGGGCACATTTTGGCACATTGCCACTTAAAGGGTTAATTTTGTTGTTCCTGTAAATGTTGACATTTGTGAAGTCGTCACCATCTGGTCAATGAAACCACAGGCGGCCCAATCTCGCAAGGGTCAGTATAGACTTTATATAGTATGAATGTATATTATATTAATGTATATTATAGTAAAAATATGTCGTAAAATATAAATTTTAAAATGAAATTGACTTGCCTACTTGATAGTGTGTGTTCTCCTTTTATTCCTCCTCTGTTGGACTAATATTTTCCAAGACTTTGTACTCGATGTTACTAGTATACATGAAACATTATCATGTTTCATGTATACTAGTAACATCGAGTACAAAGTCTTGGAAAATATTAGTCCAACAAAGGAGGAATAAAAGGAGAACACACACTATCAAATAGGCAAGTCAATTTCATTTTAAAATTTATATTTTACGACATATTTTTACTATAATATACATTAATATAATATACATTCATACTATATAAAGTCTATACTGACCCTTGCGAGATTGGGCCGCCTGTGATGAAACCTATATCTATTCTTACTTTTGTGCACCAAAGCAAGGAAACATTTTAAACAATGTACAACTCTACCTCTGTGCATATAGGTGGGTCAGCTATAGAATGTGTCGTGTATTTGTTTTGCTAAAATAAAGACAAAAATATAGATTTACACAATTTACATATGATCTAACTAGAATCACAGGACAGAATGGATTCCATTTTCTTTCATCATAATCAAATTACTATGGGTCGTTATTAAGTGCAATGGGTTTATGGTATAAGCATAGCTTGTGGTCAGCTAATATCTTAAAAGTTGGTTTGCACACAGGAATTAATTCTTGCGCTACAGAATTAAATCTTTAAATGAATCCATTGAGTGCCAGTGCTTTCCTCTTGACAAGCAAAATTGTCTGGTGATAGACACAGTGAAAAAACAAGGTATGGTGCAATGCAACTTGATGGTTAAATCCTTAAAGGTGATCTACAGTCCGATCTGCACATGTGCACAAATGAGCCCACTTTTTATGATACAAACAGTTTAACTATGTTTTGAGTTCTTGAAAAGCCTGATTGTTGTTTCTTGATCATTTATAGTACTCTAGAAGCTTGAAAATATAAATAGTTGTCGAATAAAGCTCAATATTTTGGACACAAAAAATATGTAAACAAAGGCTTTGTTTACATACGGACTATAGATCACCTTTAAAATACCATTCACCATGTTTGGTCAATTTTTCTGGAATGAGGAAACACAACCAACAACGCCTTTGCAGACATATCAAATAACCAAAGATCACAAAAAATATCTTGTATACATCCAATCATTATTTGATCTCGATTTTGATATTTATTAATATTATAAATTTACACTATTGGCATATCTTATATTATTAAAAATAAATCTAGCAATATTTTGTTTATTATTATATGACAAGAATTTTATGAGGTCCTTAGAGTATTAGATTAGTTTAGTCATGCTTTTATAAAATTTAAAATTGTCGATCTTACGTTAAAACTAGAAATATTAATATTATACACAATATAGCATTATATAATAGTGAAATTATTCTCAAAACTAAGTTTTATATAAAGTTTCATTGAGA